ATTCTTCGGTGGAAGTTTCCGTCGGACAACCAAAAACTCACATTCTAATTGCCTCGTTATGGACAAGCCGGAACCAGTCCCCCATAGGGCGACGAAACACAAGTGATGCCAAAAGTCTCGTTACGACCGGGGTCAAGCTGATCCCCCCCGTTTTCAACACACAAATACGAGACCTTTTTGAAAGTTGGAACTATAACTGACTCTTTCCAGTTGTTTAAGACAGTCCCAAATACAGGCAAACACGTCAGACCTGACCCCATCTTCGAAGAATGCGGGTGGGAGGCCATCCGGACCTGAAGCTCGGTGGTACCTGAGCGAGCGAATGCAGTCACAAACCCCCGCCTTCACCATCCGGCTGTAGGCTCCAGATGAGTGGCAGTTGCTGGCCAGGATAATCGTTGTCCAAATTATTCGGTCCAAAGGTGGAAGCGTTTTTCCATACTCGAGATGGCTGTTCCATTCTGATCCTTGGCGGTTTCGCTCCCAGGTTGTTTCGAGGACTGGCAGCATGGATCAACTAAAATAATCTCTGGGCATTGCCGGCTTCCTGGGCCGCTTCCACTTCCTTGACTTACTTTGTCCACCAGACATCATGGGCGGCGCGCAAGCTCACTTTCCGTTGATGTCTGGTAATCCGTCGGGCCAAGTTATGTTCGGAACCAGTGGGGATATTTTCCCGAGATTTAAGCAGTGCCACTGTTCGGTTTAGTGTTCAGTATTTGATTGAACCTGGTAGCTCCGTGACACGGGCGAAATTCCCAGCACTGTGCAAAGAGGTGGCAATCTCGTGTTTCTACAGTCAAATTATGCATACAAATTACATGAAATTAGCAGATCTATAGAGAACGAGTGTATGTTATGCGACAGTACAGGGAACTCGTTGTTTTTGTGTCTACATTGACCATTTGTTTCCGAATTTTATTATGCGTAGATTATGAAATGTTCAATAGGCCGGACTTATTTGATGATAAAACTGCAAGCCACGTGTTGCCCCAATTGGTCTGAGAATTGCAAAGGCATTCGTTAAATATATGTTGTGTGATACTGCCCGATCGTACAATAATTGATGATTACAAACGCTCTAGTGTGGCGATACATTTACGTCATTTTACAATTCGGTGGTGTGCGGTTCTAGGTCCATTTAAAATTCTAGCTCTGTAGATTTAACCAGGCTTGTGCTAATAATTGAGGTGATGAGCCTGCGGATACCTCAGCACAGCACTCAATGTGTTCACTGAATTGTATCTAGTGTTCATATTGACTTTCAGCAGGACTGTGTGACTATTAAGGGGCATTTGAGGGAAAGCTGGGATTCCACTTGGTAAACGGTGAAGTTTAAGATGCAAATTCCTGTGTTTTTTCAGTCTACATTAGCAATCTATTGTGTACTTGGTATGAACCTTCATACTGTTTGACCAGTAGAACCTGCACATAGGGTAAAATCGATCGGACACGTTTACCGTCTTACCATGTAATGACGCTTACGGTAGGTCCGAAGTTCTGCGACTCAGTTCGCAACTCTGCCACCAACTAGGCTACCGGTGGGATTTTCGAATTCACGCCCTTGAATTGCTCTATAGCTTTCCGATTAACCTACATTTTCTAATTAAGCTAATTATTAGATCACCCACTGAGTTGCAACTCAGGATCAACGAACACGTGAGCAGTGGCGGAACAGCGTGATGAGCACAGTAGTAGGTTCATAGAAGCCCGTATGTCGAATACGAATTAGCACAGTTATACAGCACGTGGTGGAACAGACCGGTGAGTATGAACGGAGTAGAACGTCCTGTTATTCCACTCAATAAGGACTTGTGCAGTACAATCCGGTTATTAAAACGGATATTCATAGAGTGCTGTACTGATCAATCTAATAGAAAATAACACCTTTGATTTTCGGTCTACAGCAAACCACCCAAGAAGAAAAACAGTCAAAAATGAGGATTTCATTGTTCTAATTTTTCCTCCGATTGAAATTTATGCATTACCATAAACGATCGAAAACCTCACACATGCCCTAGGGACGAGCCAATTGTTGTTCACAATGGTCTCTTTTATAATAGACTTGTCAAGTCATCGTTTACCGTCAGGTTTACACATCAAAACGTTCTGTTATTATACGTCGGAACTAAAAGAGGAAAAAAGGCAAAGGTACTGGGTGTGCTTTGCGCTTGAGTTGGATTGATGCCAATTAACAGCAAGTTAAGTGTCAAGCTAACCATAAATAGCATCTGTACGTGAAGACGTCCAGGATTGTTTTTGTTTAGCACTATCAATAATTCCACCTTACATATGGGACCACTGGAACTCGAAACCCCGCGGAAACCAGGATACACACTGCATGCGAGCTCAGCTAAGGACAGAGCTTTTAAATTATTGTGAATTAATCAGATTTGGTGGGCGGGACAAAATAAGTCAGCGGAAAACGCGACCTGTGTGAATACAATTAAAATACGAAGAACACTAAGAATAAGTAAATGAGGGGGGAACAAAAAGCCTGTGACATTCAGGTTTCTCTAATGAATTTGGGTGGAATTTTAATAGTTGATTAATGATCTAATTGTGCCTTGCAGCAACATTTTGTACTATATGAACTGAAAGTATCCTATCTGACTCCCGAAACAAATAAATTTTCGTCGCCTACCTATTTCCTGAGGTCAAAAAAGTTCGAAAAAGCATTGTGACAAAATCCTCTATGTGCTTTTCTCACACCGAATCTAGGATTGACCGACGCTCGTGAGTGGCATGTTCGTTCCAAGTGATAGTCGTCTACAGAACCAGTTGTGCAAAATACCCCCAAATCGATTCATTTGCATCGATTAACGACTGAGTTCTGTCGCTGCATGTCCCACGGACTTTTTGAAGTAGTACCCAGATGTCAGAAATGTACACTTATGTTAGTTCACTAGCTAGTTCACGTGTGGGTAGGGAGCGCGATAGTTTCTAGACTGACTTTAGTTTCCATCGGGTGAATTTCAGTTAATTTGAGACTATTTTCGAATGATGAGGCATGTCTGGCGACAACAAAGCGTCTCCTTATAAGAGGAAAAGGCCAACTGCGATGAATATCTCAGATGAGTTGATAAGCACCGTTTGCCTAAAGTTTGTGACTGTCATTCTTAATGTACTTCTACCCATACCTGAATGACTGGAATAGATTCATCGTGTATCGAATTAATTGGGCGTACAACGTTTCCACTTCCGTCACAATGCAGTTGACTCTTGTGTCATGATATGAGGATCGATAAGAATGTGAGGATTTCGTAGGGTTTACACACACCTGCTGCTGTCAGTGTCATTTCACGTCTTGCTCATCCTATTTGCGAGCACCCACACAGGATATGTGAATAATTTCGGAAAGCAAACGTTCAATTTTGGAAGTCCTATGAACACGACCAAGTGCCTCAATAATCACCAGAGGTGAAAGCCAAACCCTATATACCTGCAACCTAAAACAACACGACGGGTTGTTCAAGATCTAGGAAATCTAACGAGTAGCAATGTGTAACCATATTCCAAACCTACGGGATGGCTCATCACTCTTCTGTGCTATTAATACAACATATGTAAACTGACTACCTTGTTACAATAGGACCAGATGGTTACGAATATCACTAATGAGTTTGGTGCTTTCATTAAGATTCTTCGTTTCTCGTTGGTCATCTACGTCTTGCAGTTAATCCATGGTGAATCCGACGTTACTAAAAGTAATTAGTTTTCTCCTCCTTTCAGTTTATGTTGACTTTATATGAGATAACTTTCTTTCCTCATAATAACCGTTAGTGTCAAGATTAGGGAGTGAGCTGTTTTTCAAAGACGTCACCTTACAAATTACATTAGAGTAATAAGTCAGTTATTTGCATCGTAAGAACAACCACTTCTAAAGAAGAACGAGAATTGCCGAAGGGTAAGATGAGGTCGGACGAAGACCTCTCTGAGGGCTTTTGTAGGGATCAGTCAGCAATCTGACGAAACTTTCAGACAATTCATTGGATTAGACAATACTGTATAACCTAAGGATCGTAGTTGAATAATCGGGCTGCCTTCGGTCGTACGCGTACTCCGTGATTGCCACATAATATCTGTTGTAGAGAGCTATATTTTCCCCGCTCACAATTTCTGGATAAGTTTCAGTTTCCGTCCCACTTTACTGTGGCCATTTTTCTTATTTATATTCATAGTTATTGCTAAGGCCATCGCTTGTTGGCGTGGACACTATGTCAAGCGGTTTCGCGGGCGTATAGGAGAGCAGTCTGGAAACTAGGTTTGAAATCTTCAAAACTAAGAATGAGTACAAAGTGTAAACGCTGAACTCGCAAACTGACAACCGACGATTCGTTATTGATCAGGTCGGTTTCTAAAACTGTTCATCGAAACTCGTTTAAGGTTTGATGAGTATCAAGTCATTTGGCTTAAACCTCTCTTCAGGACCAGATCACATATTTATAATTTTCGGATATTCATATCTCTGTTATCCGAAACCAATATTTTACTGTCTTATTATCAGTTTTGTTTTGAGTATGACCGTGGTGATAGGCAGTTATGAACAGAGCTCCGAGTAGACTATGTTTCACCTTTCTGTGTTGGTACAAAAAAAACAATTATTTTGTTTATCTGCTGATGTGGATTATGACGGGAGAGAAAGAGAACGAGGAGATACAACTTGCAACAACCGGATGGGACTAATCTGTTCTTGGCCGGCAATGGATTGTTTTTATAAAATCTACAGAAACAAAAACCTCAACATCCTTTCCAAAGATCGACGTGTGAATAGCCTCAGATTTGTTAAAAATCTTCCAGTTACTTAACTCACTGTAAAAGATTCGGAAATACAGAGCGTAATTTTAATTTTTAACTTCCCGAAATGTTTTCAGTTTTCACCCCTTCTGTACTAAGAAACGAATCAAATAAAACAAAGGAAAGTGATACCGATAACTAATGCGGGTGCCACTAAAGTTCAACCTCTAATTTTATCGGGGCCACGAAAAAGCGTGACTTACTCAGATGTCTCGTTCATCTCAAAAACACAGGAACCAATGATTGTTGCTGTTGAGTTGTCTGATATCTGAGAAGACTGCGTAGTCGACTCACTTTCCCCCAAACGATTGTTACATTTTGGATATGCCTGAAGGATTGGAATAAGGGAGGTTTTACTGACTCTGGGAGGCGGAGTTGGGTCGTTGTACTCCTCCTCTGTGAGGCCTACACCCGTGGCCAAAGCACTGGCGTGCCCCACTGTACGCTGAAGCCTTTGTGTTAGTTTGACACCTTGTGCAGCGGACATTATTTCAAGTGTTAGATACTGGTCTATTGAGCAGTGTTAAGGCATTCCCTTCAAGCATCTATAAGGAAGAAACAAGATGAACTGTAATGCATTGTTCTTTTCCAGCTAGACGCTTGGCGACAGACAAAGGCTTGATAGAAGTTGTGTATTAATTCTCAAGTGAGTTAGAACTGAAGTGGTATTTTCCAACTGGAAACTCACATAGAAGAAGACAAAACCACAATCCAAGCAGTCCGGCTGAAAACAAAAAGAAAACTGTTGTTTAAAAAATGATTTTCAGAGGCTTTGCCTACAATGTTTCCAAATAAAACTATGTGAGGCGGCTAGAAATTTCACAATTTTCTTGCTAGTATTGATGCTTTCTTGAAAATTCATGAAAGTCATCTGTGTGTGAACTTTCTTTCAGAGGACAAAAGCAAACCCCTTTGTTTCATGTGAGATGGAGCTAAAGGTCACGGCTGATGTTGGCTCGATCATGGCGCCAGATGACGAATGATAAGACAAAACGAAATAAGAACGTCCCGATTTCAGATGACACTTCCAGAAAGGCGAATTGTTCCATAAATACTCATTTAGTTTCCCATTCACTTCCTCAATCAAAGTGTCACAATTCGGGTCAACAGGGGAAGGAGGTGCACGACCACAAGTTTCTTTGTTCCGGTCATCTCCCGTGCTTGCTCATGCAAGTCTGTTTTGCGGGGATGAAACATTGCCCCATTAGCAGAATCTTCGGACATATTAGAATGCAATAAAAAGCTTTGGTAAGATTTCCGCAGGAGCCACATGGCAAACCTCAGATCAGGGATCCAAGTCTAGTTGGTTTTCACAGTGTTGTGTCGTAGTTTTCCGGTGCAAACCACTGTAAAGTTACACACGTACAGCGACTGCTCACTTCTGGTATCATTGAAAACTGGATACTTTCTTTTGACCATTGTCATGCAGTATGTGTGTAAATGAACCATGTCTGGGTGGTTAGCAGTAAACTTCCTTTCGGTCTTCCACCATAATTCTTGGTATCCATGGAGCAGCATTCATCAAGGAGTCATGGGGATGTCATTCGAACAGCTTCACGCGTATGCATTTGTGGTGAGCAATTCAGTTTCACATGAAACGCCTCGTTTCAAGAGACAACTCCTGGTCTGAAAAAGGTCACGGTTGTAATATGTGAAACGTCTGCACATTCTGCAAGGCCTGAGCACTGTTTGTTGTAACAGATTTCAACTAAGTCACTCTTTTTTTAAACAACCACATCTGTTAGTTGTTGAAATAGTCTTCATGTATCCGACCCAATATCGACCAGATTATTGCCCACCAACTCTATTATGAAATCAGTGTTCAACTTGCGGTGTTTCTCGTTTGGTCACAAAATATAGTTTCCGGAAATCCAATAACTCTCTCCCCAATGGTATACGAAGAAACAGAACCAGTGGACGATTGTCGATTTTTCCAATACTGTACTTTGTATCGTATCAGATTTTAGTATATTATGAGAAGGTGATCTGCGTTTACAAGTGGCTTGGTAAAAGCATTTTTTACAGAGTTTTCACTCGGTATAAAATATTCGGTGCAGGTGACCGACGAACTGCTTGACCAGTTTGCGTGTCGGGTTTCCGAGTTCCGTTTCCGTAGTGTAAAGGAACAGTTGCGAGTCATGGTAAATTTACCAGTAGTGATCCAAGGACAAAACTACGGAATTTGAAAGAAATTAACTCGTTGCGTACATCATGTAGGAATTCAAAAATGAAATTTCCGGGCATTTTCTACAGCTCAGGTGTGGTCTAAAGGCAAGACTCTCTATACAAAGCACAACAGACATTTGGCGGCAACATTACTATTAACTCTAATCTGGCGTGACATTTCACGATCCCAGTGTTCGATTACTTATCCAACAGGTAACCCATATTAAAGCTGATTCGCATAAAAATGAGGCCGGTGCTACTTCCATACCCACCTCCAATTTTTCTATCAGACCGTAAATCCTGACTTACAAAACTCTCAGCAACAAGTTGGTTGAACAATCACTGGTGTATTTGATGTCTTTTTTCTTCTCGCTAATCATTTATCGCCATCTTTCCTTGCTTTAACAGACTGTCCTGTTTTGATTGTATTAAATTATGTACAACATTCAGTACCACGCAAACTGAAAAACTAAGGCTGAAAGTTCTGTCATACCCTTATGGCTTACGAGAACCAACGACGCTCCCGTTACAAAGTAACAAAATGAATATGTCCCTCGGTTACAAAAATATTGTGCATACTGAAAACACTGGTTCCCATTCAAGCCAGAAGCGTACATGATCGATTGAGTTATGGTCGGAAATCCCGAGCTTCAAAAAAGCCTCACAATGTTCAAAGATTCATCATACTTCACGTTGCACTTAGATCAGGTTATCGAGATGCCGTGTTTCAAGCATAACAATGTCATCGAATTTTCTACGCGGAAAATTAGGCCAAGTGTTGACAAGTATTTTAGTAAATTGGGCATACGTTGTGAGAACTCAGGGGAAAGCACCTTTTGAACCATCGATAACATTGTTTTTGTCAGCGGTTTGATACCAGCAGTCGTCGATTTTGTGATTCCTCCATAGGTCTAAGCAATGCACAAACGCTCTCAAAGAATCTCACTTAGCTGTACTTCAAACCAAACAATCCCTATAAGAATACCTGTTTACAGTCCGATTTTTGTGTGGCGGCCACAACTAACGGAGAACATTGGCTTCTGGAGTCCAAGAAGTTACTCATGAGCTACCGAAATTCACGTTCATCCCGAATGGACTTGTGCTTTCCAAACCCATCAGTTATGTAGAATCAATTGTATGGGCAAATTGGTTTAGCTACTTGGCTGAATAAACTCTGTTTGCTGAATCATAAGATGCGTTGCTGAATGTGAAAAACACCTGAGAAAACAATATTCACCGCTAAAATCACAAAACCGGTTGCTGTGATTCTGCTGACAAAGTGTTAAGTGGTTGTCTGGAGGTGTGCAGTTGGGGATGCGTTGCACACGGTGACACAACCTCATGGAAATCTCTAGGTTGCTTTCTGGCGAAATGAGCGTGTAACTGGTAGTAACACGTCAATGTTTTGAAGAACCTCAAAAACTGGCTTCAGCAACCGATGCTCAAGTCAATTCCAGAAGAACATTACTGGAGGAAGAACTTTTGACTGAAATTCTCATTCTCCTTTTCAAAGAGCCAATCAGTCACATTAACCATCCTGTTTAACTTCGAATTTCACTCTCAAGAGCTAGTAAAATTCTAGGGTCTTGCTCAACCCATCACAGGAGGAAAGGCCATCCTCATACAGCGGAGAGATAAAGAATACCAGGAAAGCAACTTTCTTCTCGTTTCCGAGTAGGCCGATTTTATGAAACAATATCAGTTGTATATACTAAACAGATTCTTTCCACAACCCAAATGTAGGAATATCCAATTTCAGTAAGTGAATACACTTGGAAATACAGACAAGGTTGTGCAGTGTCTTCTCCGGTAAGTCTAAAATTCCTCCCACTTCCAGACACTGGTATTGTCGGTGCTCAGACGGCACACTTAACGTGCTGCATCATTCCGTTTGTATGGGCTGTAGTGCGGCACACATGCGTAACGTCTACGCTACTTTAGATGATGTCGCATAGAAAACAGATTAAACAAAGTATTTGATAGACGTACTATCAAGTTACTTCTGAGCACTTAAGAACTATGGGATAATACATACTTGGGTAAACAACATATGCACCAGAGTTCTTGTATAAAATGATGGTATGAGTAAAATCAGATTCCGCATTAAAGTGCCAAACTCAAGACACAGTAGGGTGTTACATCACTTTACTGAATTTAACATGGAGTGCCATCGGTAAAAAGAAAATTCAGGCCTCATTTAGAAAGCTCCTTTGAGGCTCATTTGCAGACCGCAGTCAAAACAAATGAGGCAATTTAGAATCCAGCGTCAGGGCTCTCGCTTCACCTTTAAACGCCTAAGGTAAGGAGTTCAAAGGCTGACAGAATATCCTAAAAGTCTTATGCATACAATAGTCACATGATGCTCTCTTTACACGAAAACGTAATTTTTGCGGCTCCAACCTCTATTCTCGTTCCAGACTCTCAGTGCCTACTGCCCCCTGACTTCTGTTAATGTGGGATCTCGGAAGCATGTGGTAGTATACGTATATATAAAAATACACATAAGTTTAGATTGACTGACAAGTATTATGAAGCATGTTCCAAAGGCTTTTTTGGATATGCTTCTTATTTCTTGATATAAATTAGACTGTTCTATTGATTAAGCACGTTCATTCAACGCTGCTTGATTTCAAGACATGCTGTTTTCTATGTGGCTAGTAGGGAGAAATGTGCTTCTCACCACCTAATACGCTTCATGCCCGTGAAATCAGGAAATGCGCAATATAAATTGTTCTTGCCGAACAGGTGTCTGACACGAAGTTGAGAACCCTTTGTCCGAACAGCTTCGCTGTCGCAGCGTCTATTCTGTTGGCATTGACATTCTTAGTCCTCTTTCCTGTTCCCCTCAAAACTGCTAGCAATTGCGAGTGTAGAAGTAGAAACAATAATTTGTTTTCGAAAGTCATTGAAGTGTATGGTGGAAATCGTTAGATGTGATAAACATTTGGGTGTTAAAAAACCGAGATCTCCATCAACACTATTAAATCTGACAGATCGGTAATACGTCGGGTTTTCATTTCAGTCCACTTCCACATACCAGATGGCCTAACACACCGATACAACAAACTACACGCAACGGAGAAGAGATGACGAGAGCTCCCATGTTTATTGTTCTGCACAGTTAAGTTTAAGCCATTTTCAATGTACGTCTACGTTTAAAGATACCAGATATTTTCAGGTACACCAAGTTGTTCTCCAAAATAATAAAAATCGAGGTCCTTAGGAGGCGGAACTGCCTACCTGAAAGTTTCACAATGATAACTGTGCACTAAAATATATTAATTGAGGCAAAATAGTCCCAAACCTCCGTGTTCAGCAATATTTTCCGGTAAAACTAAATATCATCCTATGTTTCTTCTCTCGGGATGCAGCAAGCCAATAGGCCCCATTAAGCGTGCAACGAACTGAGCTATGCTTCGTTCCACAGTGACATGAGGCATGGAGTATTGCTGTAATACTAGGATGTGAGTAGAGCGAGATTTTGTCATGTTGAGTATAGGGCACGCCATACTTATGAAGACGTATGACAACTTGAGGTGAGAAGAACATC